AAAACTGAAAAGATGCAATGTTTTCTGACGGAGTATGTCTTGCAGATAGATTATAGACTTGCAAAAGGGCAAATTGTGTTACAATACAATTTAGAAATACTCCTTATGGGAGGCCATTACTGGCACAGTGAACAGTATGCCAATTTAACAGACTTTGGAAAACTGCTGATATTATGTGGGCCCCACACACAAGTGGGAATCCTAATTCCTTTGCACAGGTTTACTCGGAACAAGGGTCGTTAACCTGATGATTTTCCTGGTAAAGTGATATTATCGGTGTTAATACTAAACTATTGAGTTTTGAGTATTGCATTATGGATATAGCATGAAAAATACTGGTAATACTGTTCAGTTCCAAGCAAAGTTTTAGGGAATACTCATGACGAATATGCATACAACATTCAAATATGCATTTAATTCATTATATTATTGAAGATTATCACTGACAATCTTTGCTGTTAATTAATTTACCATTCCATGAGTGTTAGCTCAATTTCACCTTTTGTGAAATGGTTATACATGGGTCTCGTGATTACAACACTTTGAAAATCTCACATGACTCCTTAGTGACGTAGTCCAATGACGAAATAGAATTTAAAAATTAAATGAGACTTACCTTAAGTCGAAATTTGATTGTAATTCTATGAGTCTTTGGACAAGGAAACTAAGGAGTCACCCACCCATGACATTTTTGGGTTTGTGGTTATAAGTCAGTGTTGGGCACTGGATTGGCGAATACACAAGAAATGTCCTGTTCAGTCTTGCCCACCCCTATACGGTATCTATTCTGTTGAAATCACTCGTTGCTTTAAATATTGAACATTCGATCTGCGTGCGCATATCTCACATGACTCCTTAGTTTCCTTGTCCAAAGACTCATAGAATTACAATCAAATTTCGACTTAAGGTAAGTCTCATTTAATTTTTAAATTTTCCTAGTATATGAATATCGTTAGTTAAAGATCATCTAGTGTCAAAACGGCAAAGATTTTCGTCCACATTTCATTTTAAGTTTAACATCTAAATTCCGACAATCCCGGCCAAAAGTCCTTGGGACAACCCAAAATTTTCGCATGTTTTTATTGTTCTCTTCAGGGAAAGCAGATTTAACGCAAAATATGCTTTTGAACCGAACCCCGCCTCCCCTCCCCCGTTCAATGTTGATTTTGGGGGCATCCTTAACTAAAATTGCAAGAACTTTCAACATTGAATTGGGGTGGGGGAGGGGACGGGACGGGGGCGTTGTCTTTAGAATTCAAGGGTGGAAAAGGTTGAGTGTCCCAACACTTTTGTCCAGGATTGTAGACTCGGTAATTTTCAATAAAGAACAGCTCAACTAAAATATTTCGCGCGTATTTGCAATTCGTGCAAAAGCATGCACGGCTGGAATTTCTCAGGCTCTGTCTAATAAACTCTACAGCTAACTGTTTCCGCTAAAATGTAGCGCTTAGTCTTCTTGTTCTTGTTCTTGCTCTTCAGTGGCGGCGCCAGGGGCCGGCGCCCCCCAAATTATTTTTTGCCCCCCCATTTTGCCCCCCACAAAAAAATTATTAGTCACTAAGAGCGACTAAAGGCTACACAAGCGTTCTGTCGTTATCGGAAAATGTATGGCTTATAAGTTGTCATTACTCATTAGTGAATGCGCGTATACATGAAACTGTTTTTTACAGTTTCAATATTAGTTTGTAAATCTCTGAATGGTAAAACTTGCCAATACTCCAATAATACGTTTCAAAAAAAGACAAAAAAGCTTTAGTTTAGTTCTCAAACGTGTAAGGCAATAATAAGATGAAAGTATCACGAAATTATTTGAATAACCACATCGCATATATGGGGGGCGAATGTCCTAAAGAGGGGCGATATTCCTAGGGTATTCGCCCCACCCCCTGGGAGGCAATATTCCTAGGAATATCGCCACGTTTTGAGGGGGGGGGGGCAATTTCCTGGGGGGCGACCTTCTCTAAATTCTCTAAATTCTTGTTTATGGCAGTTAAGTAGTCCGATTTTGATTTTTACCAAGCATTTTTACCTCAATTTTGTCTATAACACATTTTTGAGAGCGCTCCAAAATAATGTTGATGGAATGTTTGTAGTAATGACATGCAAAACATATAAAACACCCAGTGACTCTTGTTTTAAATTTTTCTGGTTTCAAGTGTAATCCAAGAATTGTGGTGTTCATCCAGGATTTGAATTTGCCCCCCATTACCGCGCTCCCAAATTTCACCCTCGATGCCCCCTCTAGTGTTATTTATAATCTCTATGGTTATAAGACCCCAAATTTCTGAGAAAGTCTTTTCTCCAAGTTATCCCAGTTTAGCGAGTTCAAAATCTGAACTGAACGAACATTGCAGTCGGACCCCGTAATAATCCGTGTAGCTCTGTTTTGTAATTTTTGAAGCTTGCATCCCAAGACCTTCCCTAAATTGCCCCAGACGCTACTGCAATAATCAAAATGTGGTTGGATCGACTTATAAATGATAACGAGGATTGACAGTTGGAGATATGATTTTAACCATGCACCTGAGAGCTCCAATTATCTTGGTTATATATACTTTTTCAGTATTAATCATGATTATATGTTCATCCCAGGATAAGAGCTCATCCAATTCAATGCCTAAGTTTTTGTATGCGTAAGTTTTAACTCGCTTAATATTATGTCCATTAGCCGAATTTTCTGGTACGACACAAATGTGTTTATGCTTCAAGGCATACAGGATGCATACAAGCACTTCTACTGTGTAGTATAACGGCATTTTCTGTAACTATTTTTTCACAAGAAAGAAGAAATTGCTGCAAATGTGAAAGTTTATTTGTAAAAGGAATAAAATACTGAATACTTGTATCGTTCGGTCAATTATTTAATAACACGTTAACGTTGTCGCCGCGCAATTGCATGAAAACTTGTTTTAAAACTGTTATAAATTTTGCTCAAAAGTAGTGCGTGAATATAGAAAATGCTATTGCAGTGAGACAAAATTGAAGCATTGTTTAAAGTGCGATCCCGTATACCAAATTACACATGGGCTGGTTAAAATCGAGGTTAGTCCTATGCCTTGAGTGTGTAGAAAGTTTAAGAGTTTTTGCGACATGTCTAAGTCTAACAGTAACTAACACCTGTATCTATATATCTATATATCACAGTCATCCCACGTTCGTGTTATTACAGACTGACATGGATCACATTGTCTGGCGATCCTCGATCTCAGCATGGACAACTTGGGGCTCCTATAGAAGATATTTAAATGCTTGTTACCATGCATCGTTAGCTTCTAGACAATCCTAGATCGATTAAAATAACCTGCTGCAAAACTGTAAACTCATGCAAACGACCTACATTATATGCGTTGATTTCAATAATTTTACTATTAGACAATGAAGCAAATAAATATTAAAATAGTAAAAAGTCCAATCATTTTATGAAAAACAGCAAAGTGTTTGTATACAGTATGCATGAATTTAAAATTAATGACTCCTACTAGCTCGCCTGAATATTTAATGAGATCACGTTTACGTACTTTAGGTACTAACCCTATATATGCAATTATTTTGATTTTACAACAATTGTGCTATTTCTAAGTCATATAGCCAGGTGAAATATATACTGATTTTTACGTTCCTCTGGCTTCTTATTATAAAATTTTACAAAAGATACTGACAACCAAATAAAGTAATATATTTTTAAACGTCCATGCATCGACAGCGTTAAATGTAAACTAGACATGCTCCTATTCAACAACTACGTTAGTATAATACCTTCTTATACTTAGTGTTTCTTAAGTGAACAGTGTTTCTTTCGGTAGCAAAGAACCTGTTATCCTGTAAAGTATAGTACTGCTGTTCAATATAATATCCAGCAATTTGTGGCTTAAGCCTTAAGGCACCCAGTTAAGATCTTGCAGACCACAAGCGTTTTACTATGTTCATTCCTTCAAGACGCAGGATCGAATTTCTCCAAAAAAATATCAGACAATTGAATGTCGAGTTCATGGAGGCAAATGTGTCGACCCACAGATGAAATAACACGACTTGTCTATCGTAGAATGGCATTTCTGACGTCAGACGCAAAGCAGAATATATAATATGCGGACAAAAACAGATGAAAAAACAGGCAACCGCCAAGGAACATGTCGAAATAGTTTTCAAACTTAAAGTGTGCTTTTTTCTTCCTTTATCTCTCGACGTTGCTGTAATTGGAGCAACTCCTTCAGCCCCGAATTTTGGCTTGGCAATGATAAACATTTTGTAGTTGAAGTAAATAAATAGAAAGAGTAATGCAGAAAAGTCAGCTATCATGATAATATACCCCAGCATTTTAACGGAGTTAACATGAGAAAGCGCGATCGGACCGAATACCAAAATGGTCAAAAATCCTTGAAGAATTAAAAGCCTTTTCTTAGTGACTGATGCTCGATGGAAAATTGGAAACGTTAAGCCCAAGAATCTTTCAATGTTCAGGGTCAAAAGCGCAACCATGGAAACTGATTCCAGAAGAATATATATGTATGACCATATTAGTACACGGAGTTCACTAAAATCTTCGTTAGACCAGGAAATTGTCGATAATATTAGGACAGGATGAGTGATGGTGACTACAACCAGATCGAAACAAGATAAAACAAGAATTATAAAGTGGCATAGTTTCTTTCGAAGTTGTGACGACCTCCTTAGACTGATTATAACTACAGCATTCAGAAAGACTCCTGCAACCATGAAGAAAACATTCACAAGACACAGAAATAGCGAGTTAACAAAAGTGTTTGGATCCATTGCAAGTCTTGTGGCCTGTGGATATTTTCTGTTTTTCGCTTTAAAACCGGTGTTCTGTCGCACGATGATACAAGGATATATGTCAAAACTTCTATATGCACCTGCGCATTTATTGATTTAAAACAGCGATTGCATGCGTCGTATTGAAGCACGCCTTATAAGAGTGCACTTATAAAATAAAGCCATAGCGCGCGTTAATAAAAACTCGCATATATTAAAAGATCATTTACCTCCCTCTGTGTCAAGATATGACATTCAGTAAGGGAACTTATTGCCACAGCGATAAGAGTTTTTATTGCTTCCTGGAATAATTTATAGTTGAAATTAATTATGCGAAATACGTTATTTGCGCGCGCAAGTTAATTTAAGTATAGTCACGTGATTGGAAATTTCGGTATTTTTCAGCGGTGAAGCGGGCCATCTTTCCTTTCCTATTCCACGATGGCTGCAGTTCACATCAAGAAATTGGATGGAAGAGATTTATCTTCTGTATCTCATGGTAAACATCTCTCATTTATGCATAATAATTAATAATATATTGGATACCAAGGACATTTCCATTTTACTTGCGACGTGTGTATGTGCATGTGGGACTTTACTTACAATGACTTACATATTCATGACTTTTAGTCGCAGTCTACAGGGGCAACTACAGTACACTCCGATTTATAAAATGGGAGCTACATTTTTGGGAGATATCTATACGCTCAGTGTGTAATAGATAGTTTTGCGCAGGGATGGATCTAGACGTTCTTGTGACTAGTTTCCAAGACAACACTAGCTCTCACCGTGAGGCGCGAGTTAGCTAAGGGGAGGGAGGGGGGTCCAGGTCCTGGAATAAACACAAATTAACAATTAAAGTTCTTTTTTTTTTGAGGCATTTGCAGTCTCTAAAAAAGAACCTTTAAGTTCTTTTTTTAAGTTCGTTATACTTTATGTCAATGATCAATATGAATATGTCATTGTTCATTTGTTCTTGTGCTATCTTCACTGTGACTTCACGTCAGTAATGTAAGATGACAATGACAATTGGCACACAACTACCACTGTTCTTTCAAAGTTATATAACATCTCACTGGATGATCTGAATCGTATGCAGTTGACCATTGTTAGCAAAGTAACATTTCAGTTTTTCAGTATATGTCAAAGCAAACCACCACTTCCAAAGAAGAAACTTAGAAGTCAAGGATGGGATTATCGGGAAATATTTAAAACACATACAAATGTGCCTAACAAAATGTGAAACATTTTATAAATTCATGTGTATTAAGTTGCTAGCTTAATATTGTTCTTTATGGCTGTATGCATTTAATCAAATATATACTGTATGTGCATTTAATATTCAATTAATCATGCACATTTGTACATAAATTAACATGTCATATAGTCATGAATAATTAGTCAATTTAGTCATCACTACATAAAATATGCACCATTCTCATTCTTCTTGGATGAAGGGTAGCAAACAGATCAATGATCTGTTCATAATCCAGAGAAATTGCCTTATGTGCATGCATTAGGGTCAAACCATTTAGTCTTTCCTGGCCTGTAGTGTTCCTTAAATAGTTCTTAAGAAGTCTGAGAGATGAAATTGACCTTTCACAGCTACAGGAGGTGACAGGAATAGTTGCCAATATCTTTAATACAGTAAAAATATTTGGAAAAGCTACAGGGTCTACAGATATTAGTGTTTTGGATACCCTGTCAGGAAGTTTGTCTATACCAACTTCCTCAACCTTATCTTTCCATCTTCTTTGCCATAAAGTTAATTCGGCAGGCAAACCAATGACATTTGGGATGTCACTAGAATAATGTTGGCAAAATAGTGTAACAGAATTTTTCCATGTGGATGGGTTTGCCAACATAACAGTGGGAACTATAGAAAACCCACTGTAACATGTATAGGCTTCAGGAGGGAACCTAGTTTCAAGTTGATTTAAAGCATGATCAAGAAAAACAACAGAAAGATTAACTCTATAATGCCCTTTAATAGAATCTGATGGATTATTATTTCTATGTGCTTGCACTGGAATAATTCTAGGCCTAAAGGGGTCAAGCCCAATTGTAGCTGCAAGTTCCACTGCCTCCTGATAGAGTTTATGGTGTTCTCTATCAATGTTGGACCTCAAGTCTTGAAGATTTTTCTTCAAAGATGAAATTTCTGAATGAGCCTTCAAAAGGTCCATTTCTTTTCTTTGCAGCTTTACAGTGCAGGTCTAGTTAAGTCTAATATATATCTAACTATGACCAAAGTAACAACAAATTGAAAAGTTATAGAGGGCAGCATCTTTTTAGCAGCTGCTTTGCTATTTTGATTCCAATCACCAGAATCAGATTCTTCGTCCCCCCCTTTCCTATTGTGTGCAATATCTTCTATCGTACATACAACTGGGAGAAGGAGCTCAACAATTCTATTCAAGCCATCAAGGCGAGCAATCCACCTGGTCTCACAAACATTAATTAAAACTTCATGCTTGGAAGCAGGCAATAAAGACTTAACCTTCTCTTTTAAATGCTGTTGCCGTTTAGGAGAGCCAGAGAAGAAAGAGGAAAGACTGCTTACAACAGACATCATGTCTTTAACTAAATATTCAGAGGAAGTATCGGCAACACAGAGATTGAGGGGGTGGTTCATGCAATGAACATATAAAACTTTGCTAAACTGACCTTGGATAAGTGACGAAACACCATTGTACTTTCCTGCCATATTGCCAGCACCATCATAGGATTGACCTCTCCAGTTAGCCATTGGTAAACCAAGGTCAGCTACAGCTTTCATAATCATCTCTTTCAATGCCACTCCACTGGTTCCATCTTCACAATGGTAGAAACCAACAAACTCCTCTCGAATCTGCTGACTTGAATCGACAAATCGTAGGACTAAGGAAAGCTGCTCTTTGTTGGATATATCAGCTGCCTCGACTGCCAACACTGAAAACAGCTTGCTTTCTTTAATTTCTGCAGATATTTTTGCAGTAATGTAACTGCCAACAGTGTTAATAATCTCGTTCTGGATTGTTTTTGAACGGTAGGTGGCATTTCGAGGGGCATTCTCAAAGTGTTCTTGCAGCGTCTTGTCTCCACTATCAACACGAAAAGCCAACAAAGCTTGGAAATTGCCCTGAAGAGTTTCGTCGTCAGGATTGTCATCTCTTGCACCACGTAAAGCCACTGCATTCTGACCACAAAACACTACGGTCTTAATAATAGACCTCATCTTTTCACGATTCTGTTGGATCTGCCGAAAAGTAATCTGGTTTAACTGCTCATCAATCGCCACAGTGCGTCTCGTCATCACATCCATGAAGTTTGCCATGGCCACCACAGAGAAGCTGTGTGTTTCACACTTGCCGGATGAGTGATTTTGGAGTCGCGTTACAGCCGTTGTCCAGAAAGTAAGCGGCGATCGGAAAAGCTTCTGTAGCCTCGCTGCGTTTTTGCCATATTGTATTCCAAAACAACAGCATGGAAGTCAGAAGACGCCATCGAGATACTTTGAATACACAAGCCATGTGAATCGAACTAACCACTCGTGTCTACACTTTCGTAGCTTTCCTGCGGCTTCAACCGATGCAGGAAAACTATAATTCAAAGAAGGCTTCCAAACATTGTTGATAAAGCGAAACTTCTCTGCCGGAGAATAATCTGGTTTAACTGCTCGTCAATCGCCACAGTGCGTCTCGTCATCACATCCATGAAGTTTGCCATGGCCACCACAGAGAAGCTGTGTGTTTCACACTTGCCGGATGAGTGATTTTGGAGTCGCGTTACAGCCGTTGTCCAGAAAGTAAGCGGCGATCGGAAAAGCTTCTGTAGCCTCGCTGCGTTTTTGCCATATTGTATTCCAAAACAACAGCATGGAAGACAGAAGATGCCATCGAGATACCTTGAATACACAAGCCATGTGAATCGAACTAACCACTCGTGTCTACACTTTCGTAGCTTTCCTGCGGCTTCAACCGATGCAGGAAAACTATAATTCAAAGAAGGCTTCCAAACATTGTTGATGAAGCGAAA